TTTCACTATAGGAGCTCAATCTTGTGTTCCAGTGGTGGTTATACCTTTCCCTTTGGTGACATCAACGGCAGGATATGAATCCATATTGAACTGCAGCTATACACTTCAACCGTGTAATGCAGAAAATAAACAATTGAGTTGGTTCGATGGTAACAATACGTTAATAGTAACCAAACTCAATGATAATAACCCAGTTTATCATAATACAGATTTGTTTGGAAATTTTACACTGATCGGAGATAGCGATTTACATATATCCTACACAGAATACAAGCACGCTGATATTTACAAATGCGCGGTCCAATTATTTCACCCTGGCTTCTCCTCAGATAGTGGGAATGTGACATTACTAGTACAAGGTAATTTTATTTTATTTTATTTTATTTTATTTTATTTTATTTTATTTTATTTTATTTTATTTTATTTTATTTTGAAGACAAGTACAATGTATACTATATTTTTCCGCAGCCCCACAGCCCCCTTATGGGACCCAAATAACAGTTAATCGCAACCCAGCGATAGAGGGCGATATAGTACGTATGGTATGCACAGCAGAAGGCTCCCCACAGCCAACGTATCAATGGTACAAACTGGGTGGATATTCTCCTGTTGATGAACGTTATACATTTAATGATGATGGAAGTGAATTAATAATTAATCCATGTCTGCGTAACGACACTGGATCATACGAATGTACTGCTGTGAATGATGAAGGCACTGACAGTACCTGGGTATTTCTTGATATATATTGTAAGTAATATATTTATCTCAGTGAATGAAGGGTTTTGTAGAGCATGGCGAGATGGGAAAGAAACCGCCTTATCAAAATACCCCTTAAACGAGAACGGCTGTGAAATTATTGCCCATATCAGAGCACTTTCTAACTTTCTTCTCTTAATGGTTAATAAAACCTAGAAGAAAGGTAAAGCAGAAGGACAGTGGTTTGAGCGTTTTTTTTTGGCATTTATTTGTTGTTATAAGTCTTATCTTGTGTCAAAACAGTAGCTTGGAGACATTGTGCTATATGAAATTGAGTGGGATGCTTGCGTTTCTGTCTTTCAGATGAGCCTGTATCCCCTTGGCCAAATTGTAGTGTAGATCCAATGAATAACACTGAATATTTAGAAGCCGGATATGACATCACAATTGTGTGTGAAGCTTCTGGCGGTAATCCTTATCCATACCTAGTATGGTATAACGGAACTGATCGATTGCCTGGAAATTATTCCACACCATCAACGGGCGACGACAATGAAGTCACAACTAATGAATATTCTTGGATGTTAGATAAATACGATAATGGTAAATATTATCGTTGCCATGGTGACCAAGCTGTCTCTGGTCAAGAACAATGCTACACAGATCAGTTAGATGTTAAATGTAAGTAACTTTGTACACAAGTGTGAACGTACTTCAGTTTAGATTCAACTGTAGTCAAAAGCATTTTTTGATTTTTAGTTGTTAAAACATACGTGTATAATATTTTTCCAGACTCCCCTGAAACCCCTTCTTGTACAGACCTCACTCGTGATAGCTACGTTGAGGGCAGTGTCATCACAATTACTTGTGAATCTACCGATGGTAACCCATTAGCAACACTGAGATGGTTGAACGAGACAGACGATACAGTCATGCTGTTGACAACCCCAATGCCCGGTGATGAGACAAGTACTGCAGTGTATGAATGGGTAGTGAGTAGAGTCGATAACCATGGAAGCTTCAGATGTGAAGCTGTTAATCTTGTACAGTTAGATCCGTTGATATGTACTACCGGAAGTGTAGATGTTGTTTGTAAGCAACTAATGTATTATCTTTAGTTTAGGAGATTTACATGGCGAATTTAACATAACCGCCATTGTGAAATTATAAGTATATCAACAAACACGTTTAAGTCATCATGTGAATTACATATTTAAAAAAAGTATTCTGTATGATATTATTTTAAAAGTTTCGCCTACGTCTGTGGAATTATTTGGTTACGAGAGAGCCGTGAATGCAGGTGATGATACAATCCTTACATGTGAAAGTGGGACCAGTAATCCGAAGTCCAATATAACATGGTTTAAAAACAACACGCTCATAGTGGAGAGTGAGTACGAAGAATGTGGAGAAGAATGGTATAATGCCGGTGACTACTACGGTATTGTCACCAGACAAGATATAATCATACACTTAACGGCGCAACATAATAGTGCTGTGTTCTACTGTTCTGCTAATAATAATATTTACGACATTGTGATATCAAATAGTAATACACTGGAAGTATACTGTAAGTAAACTTGCTTTTTATTCAATCAGGCCACCTTTTCTTGTTTTTCTCTTGTGATATGGCCCTGTGACAGCAACACAATTAAATGACATTGGCTTTACTCTTTCTCGTAAATGTCATTTTTGCGTAACATAACACTTTATCGCCTTAAATCCTTAGTCACTAATCACTTTTAATACCCATTTATTTACTTATTTTGAATACTGTTGCAATATACTTATATACTTCATAATTTAAGCTATTAATTTAAATTTGATTAAGCATGTTGCGTTAGTTAATTACTTATCATCTAAAGTTATGTTATTACCAATTTGCCTATATTTTTCATAATGTGCATAGTAAGGCACAGTAACTTTTTAAGATTCATTAATTACCAAACACTAAACAACTAATTACAACTGGAAATAGTTCATTCTGCAGTGAAGTTTTCCAGTGAACATGTTTAGCAAGTATAATGCCGTGTCTTTCAGTTCCACCATCAGAGCCAGATGGTTGTCGTACAAGTCTTACTGGGTATAATGGTTATGCGACGGCGGGCGGCGAACTAACATTGACGTGCACATCGTGCAGCAGTAATCCACGGTCCCGGATAATGTGGTACGTAGACGGTAGCGAGGTGCAGGACGGACTCAGTGAACCCGGGTATACCCATGCCGAATACAATGGAGTGAGAACATCGCAAGACCTATCTACAATATTGTCATACCTCCATCATGCAGTGACAGTATGGTGCGAGTGCGTCAACGAGGTTTATCCTGACGATTCACATCCGTCGGATCACATCACGCTGGATGTGCATTGTAAGTATAGACATAAACAAATTACGTTCCTTGTGTAGCAGCATTTCATAATCTCATGGTTTGGCGACGTAGCAAACGTTGATTAGTTAAAATTTAAAATCCCACATGTAACATTCGTTTATAACGTTGTAACTACGTATACTCGTACAATACATTGATCGTCTCACTATATATAATTCGCTTTATTATATATAATTACATATTATATATGGACGTGGTAATCAATTTTAATTTTTTCATTCGATAAATTTACAAAAAGTTGTATTGCTTGTTTTGAGTTACATTGTTACGTTACCCTGGTAACGCGATATGCGTCTAGTACAGTCAATGTATTGAATAACTTCGTGTATAGACCTCAAAATCCCAACGCAAACTTATATATTATTTACTGCCTTCTGTTAATGGGACGTTACTAGTTACTTTATATAGTGTAACCTACCTTAATTTGGGTAATATTCAAAATTATTCACAAATCAATCAGAAATATTGTCGTGATAAAAATAAAAGTTGATTTTTTTCTTTTGATGACAACATAAATAATTTCAGTTTTGACCTTTGATAACCAATATTTATCAGAAACGGAAAATCGATTGATTATATTTCAAGAAAACGTTCAAGAAAAAGTTTTGATCTACATTAAAGTAGCAATGTTTAAATAATTTCTTTGATAACAATATTTTTTTTTGTAAAGATCACAGGTCATGAACGAAAACTGCGATGTTGCCAGAAACGTATTTAGCCTAATATTAACATTATTTAAATGCTTACAAAATATTCGAAGTTACATAATTTATCACTTCAACAAACACACCACGTCTCTCGGCAAGTCTTTATAATAGTTGTGCTATATGTATTGTTAGTGCCTAGCACCAATGTACAAAGGTCAATATGTGATACGGAGATTAAGTCATAATTGACAATCTTATTTTTATTTTATATTGTTGGTAAATTCAAAGTTGGCTACCCTCCTATACGCTTCCAACACGCACCAAACAAAATACTGTTTGTCTAATAAATAACGGGAAAATCTCACATGCATAATTGCTTACCATTAAAGATGGACCGTTCGTAACGAACATAGATGAAACACGATCACGAGCTAACGAAGGAGAAATTGGCAATCTGACATGTGTGGTCGATAGCAACCCAGATGGAAGTATCACGTGGTACAATCCGGAAGATGAAAAGATTATCAACGGAACCGAAGGACGAACTATAGTGGAAAATAAAGATGACACAATACGCGTGAGCAGATTGATAATAGAGGATGTGACCCGTGCAGATTATGGAAATTATACTTGTTGTGCCGAAAACTATATCAATACAGCACTGTTTGTCATTGAACTTAATGGATTGAGTAAGTTTATTCGTATCAAAATTATCGATTGATTTATCGATTAATTAAAGATTAATTCACTCATACATACTGATTCTTCATAATATGTGATTCATGTGTAGCTAGCCCGCAGGCGGCACAGAATATTGAAGTAACAAACCGTACAGAAAGTTCTCTTTCACTGAAGTGGGAACCCGGGCACGATGGAGGCACGCAACAGTTATTCTTCTTAGCATACTCTGCTCTTGACAATGCGAGTGATACTGGTTATGTAGATCGTATCAATATCACGTGGAATAGAACAGATTATACGTCGAACAACTACGATACCATATATGGCCTTGAGCATTCAACATACTACGCTGTCGTTGTTATTAGCCAAAACACAATAGGATACACGCCAAGCGAAGCTGTTACTAATTCCACATTGCGTAAGTTGACTGTCATAAAAGTTACTTTGTAATGTGAATGAACATATATGTCTTCCAATATAGAATATTACTATTTCCTTGCTAAATAAAACCTTTTTTTTAAATTTCAGCAAATAGTGATAATGGTGAGTATTGTTTTTCGATTAATTTGTATTTCTGATATATTTTTTATTTGGAAATTTAAAAAAGATATATTATACTTTCTTTAATATACATAGTATTGGTACTCATACAAAGTTTCAATGTGAGAAATCTGATACTAGGGGTTCATTACTACTTCTCTTAGGGAATCATTTTTGAAAGACAATTTTTGGGTGATGACATTGACTACGTAAATAAAGATATAATTTAATCACGTTTTTTCATTCATTCTTGTTTATTTAATATTATACATGTGATAAATTATCATGTTATTCTCCATCTATATTATTATAGATTCATTAAACTTGATGTGATTTTGTTTTACCTAAATTTTGGGCTGGTTGTAACTGATTGTAGCTTTTAATAATTGGATGAATTACATTTGTATATACATACAGACTGAATGACATCAATAATGATACATTATAATTTACATTTTCTATAGGACACGGTGGGTCATATGCGAAACACTTAACCGTATTATTGCTTGTTTTAATAATCATAGTGTGTATAATCGTGATTTTGTTTTATAAACGAAAACAAGCAACAGTTGAAAGTAAACAAGGTAGGTATGCAATTTGGTAGTCGTTTCAAATGAATATAATATACAATCTGTGCAATTGGATCTGTTTTTATTGTTGGGATGACTATTGATATAGAACATACAGACTGAACTGTTTTTTTTTTCAATTCCATACTACGCAAGATGAAGATGAAGTAAGGTAAGCGTGAGTATTCAAATATCAACGTTCATATTCCCAATCTGACACGCATCGCGGTGACTGCACACACAACCCGTGTATACTATAGCATTTAATTCGTTAGTGCACGATGATGTTAACTTTTATTTTCTAGAAACTATTGAGCATACGTGGCTGAGTTGATAGATTGACATAATACATTGATGGAATGCTGCTGTGTTTGTTTGTTCGCTTTTTCAATTTAATTTAATTTAATTTAATTATATTATTTACATGTTCAGACAACAACTGTTAATCTCAATATTTTAATGTAACACATCTCTGATATTACTCATTTAATTCCAGAGAGTCTGACTACATGGATCTTAACACACTTAATGAAGAGTCGACATACATGAGTCTGAGTTTCAATAATCCTGGTATGGTAGCCTGTGTTATTTGCCTTGCAGATATTGCGTTCAATTTCGAATAAATGTAAAATTCAATCAACATAACACTGTTCTTTCATTTTTTCAGGTGTAATAACAAGTAAGAACATGGATAGTGCTTTGTCTAAGGTAGGAATATACAAGTAAATGATTCCGAAATAATAATACCGCGTTTACCATGGAAATACATTGAAGATATGCTGTTTGAATACATTTATAATCTATTTGTATAGGCGACAGATTGGGAGGTACCGAGATCGAAAGTGACATTTATAGAACACATTTCAAGTGGAGCATTAACACATGTTATAAAATCACATATTTTGTCTGAGAATGGTCAGAAGGAAACAGTACTTGTAAAATTGTTTAAAGGTAAGTGTCAATCTATGTGTTCGGTTCAAAGGTCATTAGCAGAGTAATATAACTGATTATATACTTGTTATTTAATGATTTTTAGATAAGGAAACGGAAATGAATAAGGTGTGTTTTGTGAAAGAAATTGAATTGCTCAAGGGACTCGATCATCCCAATGTTATAAGAATGGTTGCCTGTTGCACAGTCCAAGGTGAGATAACCCGTGTTACTGTTAGGAGAAATGTGATGCAAAGAGTTTGGTAATCAGTTCGATTCTTATATTATATGTATAGGTTTGTGTGTGCCAAACAACATAATAACCGCACAATAGTATGTGTTAGGAGTGTTATTTACTACAGATCCCATTCTTCTTGTATTGGAATTCTGCGCCTTCGAGAACCTACGAAGTGTTCTTCGTGAATATCGAACCCAGGTGGATCCCGGAAAATTGTATCCAGACACCCCTGAAGAGTTTGACAGGACGGACGAATTTATAACATTTGGACTTCAAATTGTGCGTGGATTGAAATATCTTGAAGAAAATGAGGTAAATTACAGACAGGAATGTCTGACGTGTTCCCAGTGAGTGTGGTGACGACTGTATAAACATAAGTTCTAAAACAAAGCATATTTGCATATTGAGTACAATTATCAGACTAGCAGAAACCATATATAGACAAAATATGAACAACTGCCATTACACGTGGTAATTACAAGCTATTTCCATTCATAGGAAATATTATTGTGGATGTTTTCGTGCCTCTTCACCAGATCTTACATATGTATACATGATACTGTGATTTTTACTTCCAGTGTGTTCTCCGATTCTTTTCCGCAAGAAGTATAATGGTTGGTGCAAACAAAATATGTAAAATATCGGATTTAGAATTCTCAACCTCTGTTATGAATGAACATGAATTTGAAACTACAACAAGTGTGAGTACGAACATGAATTTACACCTATTTGATTCAATACTATAGTATGCGCAGGTCGTTAAACAATGTCTAACAATTTTGCCCTGACTATGAATTGGTTCGCCTTAGTGGATGTACTCTCACGTTTGATTTGGACACATAAATGTATATACAGTCTGATCACAGTCCCATCTCACTAGAAAATTCTGTATTCTGACAATGTATTACATAAACTGTGAAATTACTTACTTTTCAGGATCGTCTACCATTGCGATGGATGGCGCCAGAGTCGTTGCTGGCGTGTTCTTACACTGTCAAGTCAGATACTTGGTCGTACGGAGTAGTCTTGTGGGAAATATTTCATTTTGGTAAGGCACAATAATATTTACAAATATATTATTGCAGAAAACGTTATCGATTAATGCTGCTACTAATACTAGTATTTTATAAAATTGACTTTAGGTGAAACTCCATATACGGAATTGGTTGTTGTTGACCTTATCAATGAGCTACAACGTGGGTACAGAATGCCTGAACCGAAACATTGTCATAAACATATGTAAGCTATTTCAACGAGTCTGGTCGAATACGTTCACATCAGTTAGTAGAATGAAATTTCAGTTTGAGATATAAAGTGAACAATCGAACAAACGAGCGAGAATGAATAAATGAATATTCAATAATGAATTTATCATTTCAGATACAATATTATGCTGGATTGTTGGCGACAAGCGCCATCTGAGAGACCAACGTATCAAGAAATAATATTGAAACTTGGAACTAAGCCACATGTAAGACTTGTAAGTAGAAACTAGCAACGTAGATGTTTTTTATGTTTTCACCGGCATACTCGTTGTCAGCCAATTATCTGGATTAATAACAACAATAATATATGTTTTGTATTGCTCTAGGCTGAAGAAGTATCAAATACCCAAGATGCCGACTGCAAGTTTACAGATGTTATATGATAAATGGTTTAACACGCTGATGGCTACACCCGAATATACATATACATATTTTGTTTTTAGAATTTACACTATTCTCATGAATATCATAACATACAATTCAAAATAAATTTGTATCTATAGTCCTTTGCTATGATAATGATTTATGCTAAATATGCAACGCTACTAGAGAAATAATACAATTGTTGTGATTATACGGTGAACAAACGTCGAATAAAAAATCGATAACAATTTTGTAAAAGTGATTGATAGCATGTTTTCAGAAAATCCTATAATCAGTTATATTACTCTGCTAATGACCATTTGGTATATGACACTCTTCCATGTGCCAACACAGATCTTAATGTAATTTGCAAACGTTTCTTTAAGGACAAAAGTACTTCGCATTTTAACTTTAAATGTTTGTCAATGTGATATATTTAATCTATCAAAGATTTTGAGATCAGAATACTACACGTATCTATAAGACATTGTATAAAAATGAAGTGTTTTGCTACCAAATGTGTGTATATTATGTGCTGCTAATGTAACAAAATATATATCGAATACCAATCTTTCGATTCTACAAGTTACTTGTATATTGATGTGTTATTATATATTTGTACTACAAATAAACAAAAGACCGCAACTCATGAATAGATTATACTGAAGAAATGTGAACCTGTTTATCGCTAATGTAATGAAACATGTGCATGTATTATTGCAAAGTATTTAATAGTATAAGTACAGGACTATACTTTTATAAGCATGGTTTATGTCGGCCGTAGTATAATGAATACACCTGCAAGTGTTTGCCTCAATTACATTGAACGACACCGGTGCTAACATATTAGTAAACGTTTTTTTATTTCATGATGGAAATGTAGATGCTACTCACCGCTAATGATCAAAACACTGAGAATATGTACAAGAATTAACACTAAATATGAATAACAATGATTATTATTTTCGTAAAGGAAAGTATACTTTTAATCTTCATTTAACTATCATATTGTATTCACTTTGCAGAATTCTTTAAAATATGAGTAACACAGATATAAGCATTTTAATGAAAGTGTCTCAAAACAGAGAGACGAATACAAACAAACAATATGGCTTCTTGTTAAACGTGGGGGTAGTATCGGTGTGTAACAACTCAACGAAATAGGATAATAAATACGTACATACGTACTTTATGAACATTCCCTTTTGTAATTGAGTCGGTTGCGGACGTTCTATAAACAAATAAAAATAAATGTAACATTCACAATACTACCTCAAAGATTAGGGAAAACTTATAACAATGAAATGACTTAACATATCGCTGTATCCATTCGTAGTATGTGGCATCCCTATTGTTAACATTCAATAAAACATTGACAATGCTTCTTGTGTAGCGTAAAAAACAGTTTCATTTTGTAGTTAGGATAATTATGTAAGATTTTGGCAAACATTTTCTCTAAAACGGGTGACCACTTTACGACTCCATACTTCTCCCTGTGTTCTTTGAGCTATTTATTTCAGTTATTTAACACTTGTATGTCTTTACGTATTAATGAAAGGTTTACTGTCCGTGGTGCTAGCAACCAGATGCAATTAATCTATTTTTATCAGTTTATAGCGATATATATATATTGAATCGTTTTACGGAAATTCCAGTTTGCCACACAGTGAAACTCGTCTTTTCAGACTATGAATATTTACGTCAAGTTCCGTCCCCGTCTCTACTTAATTAAGATATGACATGAGGACGCACGGATTCTGTGTTTTAATTTCACATTCTTATCATGACTGAAAGATTATTATGATATGTTTGACATGCGTGCATTATGTGCAGTGTATTTATATTTGGTTCATGATTCACTAAATAAGTTTGGAAATCCATATGTTCCATCGTGTCCATCATATAACTAATTAGAGTGTTTGTCACACGTTTATATGTACTGAATTGAACATATATTCTATACACGTGATACATGTTTTGTTTTGTAGTTTTCTCATTTATTTAATAAATTGATTGATCAACAAGATTCTACTTTTATTTCATTGACTTTATTGACACTTTGGTTAAGATGTAGTATTAATTCACTCCATGTTGGGAAAAGTACCATGTCAATAGTTTGAGATACGACTTAAAGAGCGATCATAGAGGTGATTGCTGCCCAAATTGTATTTAACTCAGTCGCTGCGGACGCACTACATTCCGCGTGTTTACGCAAGAGTAACACCGTAACACGACACGTCCCACAATGCAACTTTACGGGACACAGGGACCACGAAATTAGTGACGAGTTGGGTTGAAGAATATGTGAAAGACAGGTCGGTTCAGTACGGCTCACCACTATGCGTTGATGTACAATTAGTTCATATAACGTGCAACTCTGGGTGTTTTATATTACATGTTTAAATTATGAAAAGGACATGCAGTTACTTATATAAATATTGTTGAGCAGTTAAAATATCACCTGCACGATTCTATGATGGTACTCTCATAACCAAATTCAACCCGGACAGCGTCACTCATTTCCCCTGGACTACATCCCACAAACCACAAACAACCCTGACAACAAACAGCCAAAAACTTGATAAAAACAACAAAATATCGATTGTCACTTTGTGGCCACTCTATTTTTCGCCACAACTGCACTATTTCGTATTTTATACTACCTTCACGTTACGGGAACTCGGCACGTGCCGAACTTCTTTCTGTCCCAAGCATCTATCGGGTCCGAGATCGAGTTTTTTTCGGCACGTGACGACTCGGTCCCGACCGTTCTCATACAAGTTTCGGCACGTGCCAACTCAGTTCCGAGTCTCGACTCATGATGAAATCTTAAACGTGAATGCCACTTTAGACATTTATTTCATTTTCTATGTAAAAAACGAAACAGATTATAAACACGTGTATACTTACAATAAGCAGCATCGACCGGTTAGACGAGTCCATGTACACGATACATGACCGACGATTTAGCCTTGCAAACCTGTCACTCGAAAAGTAACTACCTATAAATTTACGCCGAAAACGGACTTACACACATCTCGAAAAAATGTTGGAATAACTTGGATTTAAACCATAAATTGGAAATCAACCATACAACTAAAAATACGTTGATCATACACGCGAAATATTAGTAATAACACGGGGTTACGCAGTAATCCAATCAAAGACTCGGAAAAGTCGTCTAAGCAACGTCTTGCTTGGCGATTTCTGAAATCCTTCCAACTTGATGTTGTTATTATCAGTGTTCACTAAGAAAATATTACGATCTATGTTTAAAAATACGATTATGTTAGGAAAAATGTTAGGTCCGTTGTTATTGTGATAAGTATGGTCATCGCAGAAGTACAATTCACGAGGCGAAAGTGAACAACGGTAAGCGTAATATAATAAAGGTTTAGTATTATTTCGCTGTGGTCCTAAGTTGCTCGAAGTGAGTTACAAGAAACACTGTATTTTTAAAGTGCCTGTTGCATGCCCACTGACACGTTTCCCACTTTAGATCTGTGTCCCATTGAAATGAATAGTTTATTGATTTTGTTGTTGAAAATGATTACTCGTATCCACTGTTTCCGGAGTTCCGACTCTCGCCGAAGTTTAAGTGCGCCACCAAATGCCAAAGATATGAGAGGAAGCCATACACTTGAGTCTTACTTTTATAACACTGCATCTTTCAACATACTTTTAAACGATATTCATTTTTCGGTCGGCGTTTTTTCTCTATTTCAATTTGAGAGAGATAACAAACATTCACAACAAACATTTATGATGGTAAACTTATGCGTATAACCAGAGTGAGTATTCATGCGTTTCCAATCGATCCGAAGGTGCGACATCAGTGGACGAAAGCCGTGAAAGCAACGCGAAAAGGTTGGGATGGACCTTTTTCTTACAGCGTCATATGCAGTGTCCACTTTACCTCAGATTCTTTTTTCGTTAAAACTGTCCTCGTTCATGAAAGAACAACTAGGTTTTAAAGAGGAGCGCCGGCAACTTAAACCTGGTGCAATATATACCAATACTTGTTAGTGTCGTGTAAGAGGAAGCAATTAGTTTGATAGTGACGCGAAAACGAAGCTTCGGACAAACAGGAAATTACGCAGCACTCAAACACTGCTAATTGTTTTCATCTTTGCAGGCTAAAACTTTCTGAATTATTCGCTGATTATGGTTGAATGTCGAATTCACACCTCTGCTACCTTAACTTACAGCTTGATATGCGTAATAATTTATGGAATAAGAATCTGGGCTTGGGACGTCAATGTGTTTTGACTAAATATTTGTTTCATATGATGTCATAATTATGACAACCACGCTAACTTGTATCCACTCTGAATTTGTATGTATATGTGTCGCTCTCATTTATCTTTGTTATCCAATTAAACGCCGCCATACATGGGTGACATTTTAGTCAAAGATGAGAAAAATGCACAAAAATGTGCCTTATATACACGTATCAGCAATGTAAGCTGCCCAGCAAGTTTCCCTTCTGACGTCACAAGGGGAATTTCTGTATGCAAATTAGAAGCTAATTGGAGCCTCGTTTTAAAATACACAAAAATAAAGTTGCTTAAAAACATAAAAATTAATAATATTGATGTACCAATGAATGATTTTAGACGAGAAAATAGAAGCCATTTCACAGACACTTTAATGGAGAAAAAAAGTATGTTTACCCAGTCTCCAAATTGCCGGATTTTACAATGACAATACATTCTGTGACGTGTGCCATTCAATATACAAACTCACGCTGCGTTGGCAGTTCTTACCATCCAGTGTTATTGAACTGAGGTGAACGAACTAGTTAAAGTTAATGGTTGTCAACGTAACGTGTGTATATTTGGCCTACGTCATC